TCGATAAAGTTGGATTAAAAGGATGTAAAGTGGGAGGGGCTATGATTTCCAACAAACATGCTAATTTCTTCGTTAATTTCAACAATGCCACTTCTCGCGACATGCTCGTGCTCATTGGCTTGGCGAAAGAAGCCGTTTTTCAGAAGTTTGGCGTGGAACTCAGAGAAGAAATCTTGTATATTCATCCACACTACAGGTAATTTTAATTGCTTACTAGTTGTTTAAAAAAGGCAAAGATATTATTACATGCCTTGTTTTTTTTTCTTCCTTACAGTACATGAGAATTATAAGATGTACAGACTGTAGGGTGTTACTAAATAGTGTTAGAATTCCATGCTTCTCTTTAATCTCTGGCTCTGGTTAGAGCTTTAGTGATGAAATGAGAGAGAACTCCGATCGGACAAAACAGGAGGCAAAGTGTAACCGAATGTCGTGTCTCGATGTTTTCTTGCAGTCCGTCGTAATAAACCTGTCTGTTTTGAACATAACATAAGAAGATGCAAGAATTAGAACACCCCATAACACATATCTATCTCTGTGTGTGTCTGAGAGAGAGAGAGAGAGAGAGAGAGAGAGAGAGACCTTGCAGCAAAAAGATCTACAGCTAGCAAATGAATCCAAGCAGAAGCTAATGTCATCTCAGTAGAAAACATCTTAGCTATACCTGGAAGCTGAACAAATTGTAAAATTTTAAATTAATTAAAACTAGGGCAAATTACGGCCACCCCCTTGAGTTATGGTCAAATTACGAAACCCCCTCCTGTTTGGGTGTTTGGGTAATTACAGTCACCCCCAACTATCTTTTATCTTACGAAAAGACCCCTCCAGAGTTCAATTTAGGGATGTTAAATCTCAATTTAGGGATGTTAAATCGGTAAAACCATACCGAAATTTCGGTACGCCAACATTTCATACCGGTTACCGAACTGAATATACGATTTGGTTCGGTAAATAACCGAATTACATAAGTTTTATGTACAAATATTTAACATGAGGGGTGGCTGTAATTACCAAACAAGAGGGTTTTGGTTGTAATTTGCCCATAAAACTAAGTTCACATGTCCTAATTATGAAAAAAATAAATAATAATAAAATGAATTATATAAATTAGCTAAAAAAATAAAAAAAGAATTACATACCTCTGGTAGCCAGTATTTACTAGCAAACATGAGGCGCATGGTATCAGGTGTCCATGATAGATATAATAGATATGCGTACAGTAGTCCAAGAGCCATGTAAGGCACACTGCTTGACACTAATTTCTTTGTCTGTAATTTAGGCCAACTTTGTTAAAAAAAATTATTTTTTTAATTTTCAAAATAAGGTTTGTAATAAGTGAAAAAAATATATACTTACAAGCTCTGCTTTAGGTGCTACAACCATGAAGGTGTAAAAGGGAAGAACAGCTGCTGTTCCTAATGTGAAAGCCCCATTAGCTATCTGTGAACATGGCATCCCTGCACAAACTATCATCCCTCATTTACACATTCTAGTATGTGTGTTTCTGTGTGTGTGTGTGTGTGAGAGAGAGAGAGAGAGAGAGAGAGAGAGAGAGTATATGAAGCATATACTGGAGAGATTTTTCTGAAGAGAGTATCTTTAACAAGATTTGGTCTAGTGATGAAGATGGTTCTTGATTTTCCGACTAGTTGTTGCCCAAATAGTTTGCTGTTCTTGATATTTTTACATGGGCTGTCAACCTGAACAAGAAAACAAATTAAAAATTAAAAAAATTAGAATTTATTTTTTTTTGGACATAGAACTGTTTGAAGTGTCTGATTCTGCCAAATAAAATAGGTAGATAAATCTTAAGATTAGATACAGAAAACCTCGTACAGATACGAACAACCACTGTTGTTGAAATTGAGAGTGTTTTACTTACCCTAAGAGAGAGAGAGATTTGGGAGCTGAATAAAACAGAAGATGAAGCCATCTCTGAATTTTCTACAAGAAAAAAAGAAATTGGAAGGTAATTTTTTTTTTGGGTAGAACTACTGTTAAACTACAAAGACTACTACAGGTTTTATAGAGAGTGCAATATAAATTAATGGGAAAAAAAAAAAAAAAAAAAAAAAAAAAGGGCTGAAGCTCCTTCTTGAAGACACGAAGACTTCTTTGTGTGTGTGGAATAAATTATTATATATAAAGTGATGTTACAAAAGTTTGGAAATTTTAATCTAATTGTTTATTTAATTTTGATTAATTGAAAAGTTTATTTACTTTTGTGGTATCGAGACACATGGCAAAATTTGCATCTTACACAATTTATTTATTATTAATTTAAAGAAAAGGGGGGTCTTGTTTGTGGATTAATGCATATGCGCACTAAGTAGTGTGTGTGTGTGTGTGTGTGTGTAACTCTCACACAAAAACACACAGTGAAAGTACCTAACTAGTCAATTTTTAAGCCAAATCTAAGCAGACAACGTTATTGGATGAGAAAGAGTGTGTTTGACTATTTGATTTCTGACTGATTTAATATATTCATGTTTACTCGTCCAATGTGCGGTAGCCACGTGTCAGAGTAACGTGGCGCACATGCAAATTCCAGTGCCGGTGGATTTTTCATTCATTAGTGGGATCGTCGATCATAATAATATATCCAACCACTCAAAAAAAAAAAAAAAAAAAAGAAAAATGAAAAACCCTGAAATTATGTTTTTGTAAATAAAATCGGGTTATATGTTTCATTAATAAATTCCAGATAAAAAAAAAAAAAATTGAATTGCCTTAAAAGAGATGTACTTGTAATTACAAACGGAATCAGAATTTTAAATTTGGACGTCCGATGAAAAAACTTACGTCACTAACCTTTTGTGTACAAAATCTATGGTTAGCTAAGTCGACACAACTCCAGAAGAAAAACGAATTATTTCGTCAGTTTGTGGCATTTCTTTTGTGTACAAGCAACAAATGGATATTTTTGCGTTATCTTTTCTTTATTGATAAGAATACTTGATATAAAAAAATTAAAAATAAAATAAAATTGGACCCTATAAAACAAGTTGACTTGTTTTTCAGTACGTGGCATTGTGATAAGCTTACACGCAACAACTTGAATTTTTTGTGTTATCTTACTTCATTGAGACTTTAGAAAAGGTAATTATTATTTATGAATTCCTTTTGTTTAGTGTAGTCAATATCGCGGGATGTTGCAATATGTATCACAACACGATACAGTTTATATTAAAACGATGCAACTCGACATACATATCGATTGTAATTAAATACGCCAATATTGCTCGACACCACGATAAGATACAATACGATAGTTAAGATGTTTGGTTTGATGGTGGTTTGTGCGATTTTCAGCACATTTAGGAGTGATTTGTGTGATTTCAGCACATTTAGGGATAATTTGTGCGATTTTCAATACGTTTAGGAGTGTTTTGTGCTACTTTCAACATCTTTAGGGGTTATTTGTGAGATTTTCTGCATATTTTGGGCTGATTTGTGCAATTTTCATCACATTTTGTTTACAACATTCGTGTTTGTCTTTTTTTTTTTTTTTTTTTTTTAATTAAGGCTAAACCACAAAAAGAATTTGCTTCAGATAAAAGCAATTTATATTAGCAAATGTAAATAAAACCGACACTTACATTTCTACAAACTATATGACTTTTGTCCAAACTTCAATATCACCTGGAAAATTCGATATATAACAGTAACACAAACATGTACACGAACAACACAAATATACAGTACGAAAGAACCGAGAGTTCCAGAATTGCCTAATTCCTTTACTTACCGATAACCACATATTACAGTACAAATATATTTGGAAAATAAATTAAAAAATTTATCGGACATTTTCAGATAATTAAAGTACGAATGTGAACGAAAAATGACTAACAATGGTCATCGAGCCAAGAAATGATGTCAGCAAAAACTCGGAGAATCATATCATCTGGCTCACCTTCTAGAAGAGAGTGATAAGCATCGTCGTACAGGTTAAGTTTCTTGTCCGAACTGCTCGACTTTTCGTACAATGCTTTACTCACGGAACAATCTGTTACTCTGTCTTCTTTTCCGTGCAATATCAATAATGGAAGAGACACCTGCAAAAACATTGTATTAATAATCCTAACTCAATCTTCAATAATAATAATAATAAGGGTAAATTACAACCACCCCATGAGGTATGGTTAAATTACGAAAACCCCCCTCTTGTTTGTATAATTACATTTACCACCCTCAACTATGAATCTTCTTACACCTCCATCTTTATGGTGTCAAATTCAACATAATCATCTAGATTCCGTAGAATGTTAGATTCCGTAGAATGTGCTCTAGTTTGTACTCGTTATGCGCAAAAATACAGTTTCTGATGCACCAAAATCTGATATATATTTTGGTATATACAGGCCAAAAAACACATTTATGATCATCTTGCTTCAAAATGTGGAGCTCGAATGGGATAAAACGGATACAAAAGTGATAATATTCCACATAATCTCGAAGATTCCACTAAATTTGAAACTGCAAGGGTGGACGTGCAAGAAAATTTATAGTTGAGGGGGCTGTTGTAATTACCCAAACATGAGGGTTTTTCGTTATTTTATCATAGGGGTTGGTTGAAGAAGAAGAAGAAGAAGAAGAATAGTAGTAGTAGTAGTAGTAGTAGTAGTAGTAGTAGTAGTAGTAGTAGTAGTAGTAATAATAATAATAATAATAATAATAACAATAAAATTAATAATCCGTACCTTGTCCAGTTGTTGTTCGATCTCTTTCGTAGTACTCAGCAATTCTAGGGCTGTTCCTAGACGGGGGTTATGCTTGTAAGCGATAACGTTATAGGCTGTCTGAATAAATTAAGAATTAAAAAAAAAAAACCTAAATAAATTTAAAAAAATCATAGACTAAATGTCTTAAAAGAATTGTTGATGCATCAATTTAGAGGGGGAAAAATGAAAAACCTGTTCTCTATTCTTCACAACTTTGAATGCCAGCTCAGCTAAATCCTTATGCGGAACGAGCTTCTGCTTCGGAAGTAATTTAGCCATACCGCTCAATATTTGGGTCAATATCCATGGTGGCACCATATCATCTGCAATCTTGATTTACAAAAATATATTTTACCAAATCTAATATTGTAAACGACTATATATATATATATATATATATATATATATATATATATATATATATATATATATATATATATACATACCTTGCACATAGGTGCGACAAGAACGGCTCCATTCCAAGAATCGGGTTGTCTCATGTGCACCTTGAGTGCGACTGCACCCCCCATAGATTGTCCGAATAGAAAACTCGGTAATTTTTCGAGATTTGGGTTTTCTGCATTCGCAATAATATGATTGATTACTATAGAAGAAAAAAAAAATTCAAAAAATTATCGTAACTTGGGAGACCTCGTATTGTACCTTTGACTTTGGAATAATGCTCGATGACGTCACCAACCATAATATCAAAGTTAGGTATATAGCCATGCAGACCTTCAGACAAACCAAATCCCGGATAATCCATAGCGAAAACTCCGTAACCGGAAGATGCTAACTTTCTCGCAACTCCTGTATTTAAAAATTAAAATAAAAATAAATAATCAGGTCCTGTAATCTCGAAATCGAGGGTGTAATAACGTTAAGTAGTGATATGAGGTACATGCCTTCGAAGAAAAACGTGCACGTATCTCCATAACCGTGACAAAAACAAATCACTGCTTTTGGGGAACCTTTTTCTGGAAGCCAACTTTTCGAGAAAATTTCCAACCCTCTTGAATTCACTTCGTACGACTGAAAAAAAAAAAAATCCGAAAAAAGTGTAGGATTCAATTGTAATTACGTGTAATAGAATGTTACTATAAGCGAGCAAGTTCTTCAAGAACCTTCTTTTTTTCTTGATGACATCATGATTCTAGTACAGGCATTAAAATAGTACAAACTCGAGTATTACATAGCTCCGCCTCGGGATTAATTGAAATAATTGAAGGGTATAATTGAAATAAATGAAGGGAGCAATTGGGTGATACATAGCTCCCACTCGGGATTTCATTCGAATACATAGCTATAAGACAAGAAATAAAAAAAAAATAAAAAATTATTTACCTCCGCCATCTTCAATCCATCGGTCGGCATCTGCAAGATATGCAAAAAAAAGTAAAATAAATACTCGAGATCAGAGTAAAACTCGTTACGAGTAAGAGTAGACATTTTATTATTTTTATTGAAACATAAAAACGAGAATGGAATTAGCTAGCAACAAGTGAATCGAAATGAAAGAATTAAAAGGAAAAAAAAAACTTTATCGGTTATGGTTGAAACGACCCTTTATCACTAATTAAATACGAGCGTGTAGATATGCAATTCCTTGGGTGCCAATAATATTCATTTATCGTGATATTGTCGTCAACTTCCATTTTATCTTTTGCTATTGGCAATAAACCAATACGACCTTCGTTTACTACTATTTTAACACCGGGATCTTCTTCAAGTTTGATACTTTTTTCGATGATTACTCTTTATTACATGTATCCCATGTTCGTAATCAACAAATAGCTATCCAATTTAATTAAAGTTCTCGCGTAAACAAAAATGCCGTAACCTTAATTCAATAGGCATTGAACTACAGAAATCATAGGTTAAATAAATATATACACACATCTAGATATATACATTCTTAAACTTCTCTAATTCGATCACAAAACAAAACCCACTACCAAGAACTAGCTTTTAACCTTCACCGTTCGATCGAAAACAAATGGCTGATACGAAATTGAGATGCATAAAAAGTAATTATTTACATCAAGAAACAATATTTTTTTTTTTAAATCTTTGCTGGAAAAAAAAAATCTATTACAATGAAAACATAAATCCAACACAAATAAAAACCTTGAACAAGAGATGATCAATGGAGAGCTGAATGTGCTTGAATGCCTCACGTGCAATGCGCCTGGGGCCCACATGATCCATGTCAGCATCTAGAATCTTCTGCAACTCCTCACTCAAACCCTCTAATTTCACCATCAATTTTTCACAACCCAATCAATCCTAAATCATTCAATCAATCTTCGATGAGAAAGATCTAGGGTTTCAATTCTTGATTCGTACGGGCACAAAACTTCAATTGAAGGATCTGTGAAAAAAACCCACAAATCTTTTGTAAATGGAACAAAAACCCCCCCAAAAGAAACATAGTTATAATGGAGTTGGGTTTCGTTTACCTTTGAAATCTGAAGAATTCAACGCCATGGGTAAATCAAATATATTGGAATTTATTATTAAATTTTATGTGGGATTTTGGAAAAGAAACAGGCGAGAATGGATCTCGTGGAAGAATCTTTCTTCAGTCAAAATTAAATTAGCGTCAAAATGGAACTTAATATGTAATTAAGTCCCTGCATTTATACGAAATGTTAGTTAAGACCCTGCAGTTACATTTTCTATAAGAAAAAGGCCAAAACTATGAGGAAGAAATATAAAGTTAAATTAATACTAGGAAAAGAAAATAACAATTTTTTGGTAATTTTAAATGATTGTTAAAATAGGAATTGATATCCTAGGATATTTTAAAATGGAATTATTTACTTCAAAAAAAAAAAATAACATTAATAAGCGTTTCAAAATATTTATCTTTTAAATTTTTGGGTTAATGATGGATATCCCCTCAAATAAAGTTAAATTACAAACAAAAAGTCTATCATATTTGGCTAATTACAATCGGTCTTTTTAATTATGATGTTTCTTATACGTCCCCCTTGCGGTGTCAAATTTAGTGGAATCTTCTAGATTATGTGGAATATGTTCCAGTTGTTTGTATTTGTTTTATTCCATTCGAGTTTCACATTTTGAAATAAGATAATCATAAGATGTATCTGTTGGTTAGTAAATATCAGATTGTGGTGTATTAGAAACTGCGTTTTTGCACAAAACGAGTACAAACTAGTGATTATTCCATGGAATATAGAAAATATAATTATGTTGAATTTGATATCATAAGGGTGGACATGCAGGAAGATTCATAGTTGAGGGGTGATTGTAATTATCCAAACATAAATGGTTGTTGTAATTTAACCTTACCTCAGGTGGCTGGCAGTAATTTACCCTAACAATTTTAAACTAGAATTTTTTTTTATTTTTTTTTATTTTCAAACTAATTATTGATTATTTAGTAATAAAATATTTGGTTCGTTTTGGAAAATTTTAAGGGATGCACGCGCATTTAATCCCGAAAATTCTCTAATTAATTTTCTATATAAGCAATTCCAAAATTAGTGTATTTTCGCTCATTTGTTCTGCAACAAGAACAATAGGCCACTTGCCTTATTTCTCTCTCCCCAAATAAATTATTTTTCTTCATAATTTCACGTACTAATTCAATCTCTCCTGCAAAAAAATAAATAAATAAATAAATCAGAATAAGAAGAAGAAGAAATGGATTGTTACGAAAACGCAATGTCGATGGGTCGGGTTGTCTGCCCCAAGCCTCGCCGGGTCGGGCCATCCAATTTCAACAATTCCTCGATGCCCCTACGGTTTCACATACGGTGACGACTTTCTCATTTCTGCCGTTGTTCGTTATCGTTTGTCGTTGTTTCCTTCTTATTTTAATTATATATATATATATATATATATATATATATATATATATTTATATTTGTTTATAATTATTTATATATGATTATATGGATTTAGATATGAAGCGAGGGATTGAGTTGCTCGACTCGATACTGAGTAGGGTATATCTAATTTATATATATGTATAATTATATATATATATGTGTGATTGTGTTATAGATATATAAACTTAGGGATGAATGATGTTGCTTATGATTTGCAAATG